CTTTATTCATTCTTTCTTTGTCGTTCATCTTTTTTTTAACCTTCTCAAAGTTAGCTTCTTAATTTTCACTTTTGCCTTTTCCAGTAACAAACCTGCATGTTTAGCACATGTATCCCAGAACTTAAAAGTAAAATAAAAAATAAAAATAAAAAAACATATGAGACTATAAATTTTCCTCCAAGTACAACTTTTACTGTATCCCACAAGTTTTGATACATCATATTTTCATTATCATTCAATTCTAAGTATTTTAAATTTTCCATTATTACATCTTTGATCAAAGAATTATTTTAAAATGTTAAAAAATTTCCACATATAAGGGGAATTTTGGGATGTTTATGTTTTAGCTACTGAATTCTAATTTAATTGTATTATGATCAGATAATGTGGTCATTATATTGATTCTTGGAAATCTGTTGAGACTTGTTTTGGGGGCGTAGTATAAGGGCAAGTTTTGTAATTCTTCCTTGTGAAGAACACATATATTCTAATTGTTTGATGCAAGATTCCATGAATCAAACTATTTAGTTGTACTATTTCAATTTTATATACCTTTACTAATTATTTGTTATGTGCTTGACCAAGCAATAACTTGGAGAAATGTGAAATTTCTCTATAGTTTTATTAATTTTTGTTTTACGTTTTGATGCTATATAGAAATGTTATACCTTTCCAATGAATTAAAACCTTATCAATATGTAGTGCTCTCTCTACCTTGATTAATGTTTTATGTCTTAAAGTCTTCTTTCTATCTATCTATCTATCTATCAATCATCTATTTATTTATTTATTTTTGAGAGACAGGGTCGGTCTCTGTCACCTAGGCTGGAGTTCAGTGGCATGATCTTGGCTCACTGCAATCTCCGCCTCCTGGATTCAAGCGATTCTCATGCCTCAGCCTCTTGAGTTGGGATTACAGGTGCAGGCCAGCGTGCCTAGCTAATTTTTTGCATTTTTAGTAGAGACAGGGTTCCGCCATGTTGGTCAGGCTGGTCTCGAACTCCTGGCCTCAAATGATCTGCCTGCCTCGGTCTCCCAAAGTGCTGGGGTTACAGGCATGAGCCACCATACCGAGCCCTTAAAGTCTATTTTGACTGATATCAGCAAAACTACTTTAGCTGCCTTTTGATTGGTATTTGCTTGAATATGTTTTCCATCCCTTTACTTTTGATCTTTCTTTGTCTTTCTGTGTTAAAGGTATATTTTTCTAAACACTGTATAGCTGAATTGGTATTACATTTTTAAAAAAAAATCTTAATTTTTACTCTATTTTTTAGCCAGAAAGTTTAGGCTATTTACATATATTGTGACTGCTGATATATTTGTATTTGTTTTTATAATATTATTTTCTATTTGTCCTACTTTCCTATGCTTTATGCATTTTTTCTTTTTTCTTTTTTGAACATCAGGCTTAGAAGTTATATACTAGTTCTTTTCTTTTAGCAGTTACCCTTGAAATCCAAAATTAGTACTTTAACCCCTTCAGAAAAAAAGGACCTTATAATGCAAACTCTGATTATCTCCTTCCTCATATATAGGGAGTTTTACACAGTATTTTAAACCAGCAATATTTGTTTAGATTTGCCTACATGTTTACCGATTTCTTTGCTTACCATTTCTATTTTTCAGACCTTTTGCTCTTTTCTTCTTTCTGAAGTATATGCTTTTTTTTTTTCTTTTAAACAGACAGGGTTGTGCTTTGTCATCCAAGTTGGAGTACAGTGGTGTGATCAGGGCTCACTGCAGTCTTCAACTCCCGTGCTCTAGTGATTCTCCCACCTCAGCCTCTTGAGTAGCTAGGACTACAGGTATACACCACCCATTTGGCTATTTATTTATTCTTGTAGAACCAGGGTCTCACTGTGTTGTGCAGACTGGTCTTAAACTGGCCTCAAGCAATCTTCCTGGCTTGACCTCCCAAAATGCTGGGATTACAAGTGTGTGTCACCATATCCAGCTTGAAGTATATTCTTTGAAGTTCCTTCAGTGTAAGCCTGCTGGTGGTAAACTCCCTTAGGTTTTGTATGTCTGAAGAAAATATTTCACTCTCATTTTGAAGGTTATTTTTGCTGAAAACACAATTTAAGTTGAAAATTATTTTCTCTCAGAACTTTGAAAATATTTTACTGTCTCCTGGATTTAGTCATTGCTGTTGAGAAGTCTGCTGTCAGTCTAAGTATTGTGCCTTTGTGGATGTGGCCTGTTTTCCCTATGGCTTCTTTTAAGAGAGCTGTCTTCAGTGATTTACAGCATAAAAAGTTGTGAATGCTTATTTGTCTTTTTAGATACACTGCTTCCTATATCTCTGGATCAGTATTTCTCATCTTATTGAAAAATTCTGAGCCACAATCTCTTTAAACATTGTCTCATCTCCATTCTGCATATTTTTGTTCCCTTTGACCCTCTAAATAGGCTTATGTTAGGCTTGCTTATTCTGCCCTCCAAACTTATTAACCTCTCTTCCTTACAGTTCCATCTCTTTGTCTGTTTGTGCTCCATTGCATGAAACTATTTGTTTTATTTTCCAGTTCATTAATTAATCCATTACAAAAAAGCTTATCCACTAAATTTTTTGATAATTACTTTTTTATTACTGAAGGTTTTCTTTAGCTCTTTTTCAAAAGTGCCTGGTGATTGTGATAGACCACTGTTGTTCACCATTTTTGTATTCTATATTTAAGTTAATTTTTCTTAATATAAGGTAGTCTAGTTTCTTCTTAGCTGATAATTCAAACATCTAAAGTCCTTGGTGAGGAAGGAGTAATCAATACATTAATGCTACTTTTGCTGACTTTCACTCATGGTGGTTTGTTTCCTTGTTTGATAATCTTTTTTGAAAGCTCAAGATCCTAATCTGTGAAAAAAACTAGAAGCCTAAATTACATTTGCTTTTTCTGGAATTTAGTGGTACTACCAACCTGGGCTATTTTATCTCCCTTCTAGAATCCCAGGCTTAAACTGGGGGAGTTGCAGTACAGTCCCCATTTGCACCCTCACATGACCATCACACACAAACACAAGTGATGGGTAAGTCTGCCTTTTCTGGCTTGATTACTGTTGACCTATATGCACTTAGCTACTTGTATTTTTTTATTAGATATTTTCATTACTTCCTAGGAGTTCTAAAATGCAACAGAGATACCCCTTGGAGTACAAAGTCTGTTATACTGGCAGAAGAGGAGGTCCTCTTTAAAAGTTTTTAGAAAGTAGGAGAGTCACATCTGACTGTAGATTTTGAAGAGCTTTTTCTGGATTCTCTGTAGGAATGAACTGCAGGGAGGCAGGAATGAAAGCAGAGTCAGGTAGGAGGCTAATGTAGTAGTTTAGGTGAGAAACTGAAGCAACATGTCTGAGAGAGGTAGCAGAGGAGATAGAAAGAGGTGAAATGACTTGATATCTGATTGGGCATAAAACAGTAGGAGTTTTTGATAGTTTGGACGTGGAAGGTGAGGTACAGGACCCCTGGCTGATGGCTGATGGTGTCATTTACTGAGATAAGAATAATTGGGAGATGGACAGTTTCCAGTGTCTGTGTAGGTTAGGGCCTGGGTAGAAGTTAAGAGTTCTGTTTTGGATATGTTAAGTTTGAAATGATTATCAAACATCCAAGTGGACATGTCGAGTATCCTGTTGTATATATAAGTCTGATATTTAGGGAAGAGAGCTGCGCTGAAGATATAAATTGGGGAGGTGTTGCCATAAAGGTTTGGAAGCAGAGGAGATAACAAGTGAGAGGGCAGAGAGAAAACATAGGGACAGCCTGAGCCCCAGGGCACATCAATTCAGAAACTAACAGAGGAGGAGACAGCAGCGGTGATTGAGAAGGAAAAAAAAAATCCAAGAGAGGAGCTGTCATGGAGGCTCAGAGAAAAGTGGGTTCCAGGAGGAAGGGAGTGATTGACTGTGCTGGAAGCTATTGAGAAGCTGAGGAAGATGAGGCGACAAGGTGGTAACTGGTAGCTTTGATCTGAACAGTTCTGGTGAAGCAGTGGTGTCAGAGACTTTAATGGAGTGTGTCAAGGATAACAGGAGATGAGTCTAGATAATACCTATAGACAAGAAGTTCGAAGTGTTTTGTGTGAAAGGGAGCAGTAAAGTGCAGTAGAAGCTAAAGGAGAATGTGACATAAGGAAGTTTTGTTCTGGGGAAATATTAAAGATTTTTTATGCCAATGGGAAAAATTTAGTGCAAAGGGAGAAACTGATCATGCAGGAAAGAAAGGGAATATTTTCAGGCAAAATATTCTTCAAAAGATTAAGCACCTGTAAGTCTTTAAGAGGTGATGTGAAACATGTGCGTGGCGTGAGTCATCCATATAACCTACAAGACAGAAGGGCTAGGACACCTATATTACATAAGGACTTGGGGGCTGAGTAATCTTTATTCACCAAGTTCTCATGAAGTCTACTCCACCCTACCTTCAAATTTACCCATTTCACAGCAGCTAGAGGTAGAAACTATAGAACATATCTGATAATTATGATCCAAAAGTGTTTGGGTAGTTACAAAAGTAGGTGATTAACTCAATATACAGCTAAAGGGGTCTTACAAAATTTCCTAGTTTGGTCTCTATCCACTTTAGGCAACTGAATCCTAAAGGTCTTAGAATGGACACCTCACTATCCCTTGGGAATTACTTCTAGGATGCTATCACCATGCAATGTGTCTAGCACAAATAGCAATTTCCTCTTGTTTTGTGATTAATGGTCATAGGATACAGCTGAACTGTAATTTTCTTCACCCAAAGACCTTTATGTACTAGAAATTTACTTTTTCTTCTCTAAGCCAAACAACCTCTTTCTCTTGATTTTCCTTTACAGATCTTATTTTGTATCATTTGGCTAGTCTTCTTGACTCTTTCCCTTCTCTCCAACTGTTTTTTTTTTTTCCCCTAAAGTGTAGTGACCAGCAATTAAGAAACTACTCAAATAAAGTCTGAATAATCCTGAGAGCAGTGTGGGTATTTCAACATGTCTCCCTTAGACAGATGAAAGGCTGACCTGGCTCTGCCAAGACTTGAACATATTCCAGTTCCTGCTGATCTGGGAAGTCTCTTCCACTTGCGTTTTTCTTCTTTTACCTGGCAATTTGAATAAAATGAAAATACAACCAGATGTATATGGAAAAGAGTTTTCAGTGTACCTGTTCTTTAAAACAAGCTTGAGCTTTATGTAAAAGTCAAAATGTGCACATACCAATTCCTTCTAAAATGTAACAAATATCTAAATATACCAATAAAATGTTTTGTCTCTCAACTGCATATTCCACAAAGTATTTCTTAAAATCCAAAAGCAAGTATTCAGATGAGGTACTTAATTAAGTGAAGTGTTGGGTTTGGAAAGCCTTCTACTATTTTGAGGCTAATGATGGTTGAGAGACTCCTATGGGGGTGTGTGTGTGACAGAGATTCTGCCTGCTAATTACTTCCCAAGAAAAATCTAAGCATCCAACAATCATTCTAATTTTTCCTAAGCAGCATGAAATATCACATCACATTACATTATGTTATGCCAAGTAACAGGATGTTCTTGGGGTAACATGACAAAACAATGCAGCTGGGAAAAACAAATTGAAAGGCCAAGTGATGTGCATATAGTTTTGGGTAGGTAGTGCTATAAAAAGAAAGAAAAAGGTGCACACTGATAATAAGAGGTGACTTACAGATTTTGTTACCCACAGGTGATTTTAGGAAGGCAGCTTTGTTTTCACCGTAAGATTTATGCTCTAAGCTTTGGCTCTTTTACTTACATTTGTTTCACTCTGAAAAAGCACTGGAGCCCTTTTGAACTTCAATTTTTTCCTCTGTAAAATGGGAATACTACTACCCACCCTACCTCTTTCATATGGCTGTTGTGAGATTCTAATGCCTGGTATATTTAGGTGTTTTATAAATGTCTAATTGGATACCGATAGATATCTGAACTGGATTTAATATTCTGTATGTTACAGATTCCAGTCTGTACATTTTTCACTTAATGATATTTCAGAAGGAAGGATATATCTTACTGCTGGTGGCTTATATTTTAATCAATTTTTTTTCTTTCTTGGTGGTATATAATATATTTAAACCAATGGCCTCTTAGAAACATACCTAATGTAAATGATGAGTTAATGGGTGCAGCACACCAACATGGCACATGTATACATATGTAACAAACCTGCACGTTGTGCACATGTACCCTAGAACTTAAAGTATAATAATTTAAAAAAAAAGAAATATGGCAAATAAAACAGTTGGGAAATGGCAAAAGCACTATGCAAATATCAGTTATTTATTCAGAAAACGAGATTTTACCAAAAGTATCCTTTATGCAAGGCATTCAGAAGGAAATGAAAATGAATAAGACTGGGTCCTTAATCTCAAGAAGAGTGCAATGCATGAAATGCATGACTCAGGATAACTCAAATGCCAAACAGAATGTGATATGTGCCATTTGAGCAGCATTCCCAACTTGGTACCCTGTGACTGCAGAAGAAGAAATAACTTTTAGTAGGGTCAACCAGGGAAGCAGCATGGAGGAGGTGGCATCTGGCCCAGCCTTGACAGATGCATAGTATCGTAACAGGCACATATGGGAAGGGGAGATACCCTACGCAGAGAGGACAAGTGAGGCATGGACACAGGATGCACAGTGAATATTCTGAGGAATACGGTCCAGACAAGAAGCAGTCCAGACAAGAAGGAGCGTGGGGACTGTGATGGGTTGCTGGCTCTAGGATATTAGAGGTCTGGGCTCAATTTGGTGAATGCGTTAGGCTCCTGAGCAAGGAGCAGCCTGATAAAAGTGGGGCATTAGGAGCATGTGCAGGGGCACTGGTTAAGAAGAGGCTGGAAGCAGGGGCATCCTAAAGCAGGCCTTGTGCAGGCTTGAAAAGTCCAGCTAATGAGTGGGTAGTGGGGGTAGAAAGGAAATGACAAATGGATAGTAGAGCCATAGTTAAATGCTAAAGATTCTTAACGAGAATCCTAGAGAGAAAGCCCATTTCACAACTGGACAGAAAGGATGCACTGAATTGATGTTTGACTGTGTGCTCCTTGAGGATGAGAACTGCATGCTTTGTACATTGTTGTATCCCAGCACCTGGTACATGGTACTTATACAATAACTATTTAATATACTCCCTTCCTCCAAAAATTCTATTTATATTTTTAATTCAATTCAGCAAGCACGTACCTATCACGTGCTCGATGCCAGACACTGGGGTTGGGAAGAATGGGCTGATGTGGTGGACTGTTTTTCAAATGGCTACAATAATTTCTTCTTTACAGAGTCTTGGGCAGCCCCTTCAAAACTGACTCCGGTAGCCATAGGACTTGCTTTTATCAAAGGCATAACAGAAAATATGAGGTAAGCAGAAACTTTAAAAAAATAAAAAGTCTGCACATTGATAAAGTAATGCGTTCCAGTCCAGACAGGTTTAATATGAAATCCTTGAGGCATGTCCAGCAGGCAGTTTGGTATAAAGCAGTAGGTCCTGCTGCCTTTTTTTTTTTTTTTGACTCCTGAGGCCACCATATAAAGAATTCCAGGCTAGCCTGCTGGAGGATGAGAGAGCATGTGAAACAGAGATGAGTCATCTCAGGTGAGGCCTCCCCAGACCAACCATCCTAGAATGGGGGGGGGTAACAACCTTTTTCTTAAAGGACCAGCAGTAAATACTGTAGGCTTGTGGGCCATATGATCATACCCATTCCAACTACTCAGCTCTGCTGTTGTAGTGCGGAAGCAGCCATAGATGATATGGGAGTGGCTGTATTCCAATAAAACCCTATTTACAAAAACAGGTGGCAGGCCTGTGGGCTATGGTTTGCTTACCTCTATCCCAGATTATTCAGCCCCAGTCTGAGCCAGTCCAAACCAGAACTGCCCAGCCAATCCACAGAATCGTGAGAAATAATAAATGTTTGTGGTTTTAAGCCACTAAATTTGGAAGTGTTGTTACACAGCTAATGCTAACTGATGAAGCTGGTATAAAACACATAAAGCATACACCTTGTTTGAAGGCACTTAAAATCCACTTGTGGAAGCAGGACATGTGTGGGAAACGTTTAAATAACCATAGAAGGCAATGTGACTAAATGTCAAAATGAATGTTGCAGGAGAATTAGAATTATAAGGATTTATAAAAGGGAAAAATTAGTTTGGACACACAAAAAACTTGGGCAGCATATCATGAAGAATGGGTAGAATATGACAGTTTCCTACACATTCCTGTTTCTTTTTCACTACTTTTCTTTATGCTGCCTACTTTTATGTCTACGTACCGCAGTAAACTGGACACCTTCTGAGGGCAGGTCTTATTTTCTATTTTCTAGGTTCCCGGAGTCCAGTGCAGTGCTTGGTTCACAGACAGGCTCAATATATACTTACTAAAGAAACCAATAAGCCCACAGCTGGAGAGGAGAAAGAGCATGTATGTGGAAAAATCAAACCTAATGATCAAAGAACACTGCACAGGAATTCGTGTGGTGCATTCGAGAGAGGCCACCAGTGGCTCAGGGAGAGGAATGAGATTGGGGTAAGTAGAAGCTATAGCTGGCCAAGTGACTCTGGGTCATGCGTTGGGGGTGATGAGGCAAAGTGAAGGACCCTGACTTTCAGGGAGTTAAAGCCACATGTTACTGGAATATGTGACCTAGTTGACATTTATGAAGATGAGTTTGGTGGCAGAGGGTAGGGTGGATTCCAGGCAAGGAGAATAGTTAGGACAATTTAGTAATCCAGGAACAAGAGAGCAGACTAGCCTAGGAGATGGTGGGAGTACCAAGGTGTCAGGTCCTGATAAATACCAAATAGAGCTGAGCATGTGGTTCAGCATAAATGACAGAAGAAAAGAGAGACATCTCAGGCATTCCTTCATGCCATATTTACTGGGTACAAGGTATTATTAAGCCATGTGTTCTCAGCCCATGAGGACACTCAATAGAACCATGTTACATTTGGAACCAAGATACATAAGGTCAAGGACCCCACTTTACTCATGGAGAAACACAAGACAACCAGGAACTGTGAGTGAGGCAGCTGCTAGAGCGGGCAGGGCACAAGCTTTGCAGTGACATACACAGCCTTACAGCCTGGCTCCATTCTTCTTAGCTGTGTGATGTTGGACAGACCACGAACACCACTGATAATGGTATTCACCTTGCAGGCTGGTTGAGAATTATAGAAAGGGTGGGTGATGTACATAGCAGTCCCTGAATAGAGCAGGCACTCGTATGATTCGCAATTACAATAAAAGCAACATGCAATAGGGAACACATGAATGGTATAATTTGAGTGTTGTAATAGGGCAGAGAAAGAAAAATAACTTTTGGCTGGGACAGTCACTTTGGATTTGAGAGTGAGAATAGCATGTGGTCTGGTGGCAAAAAATGAGGACGATTTTGACAAGTAGGGGAAAGGGGAAGGTTGTTCCAGGAAAAGAAAACGTTCTGTGGAAGGGAACAGAGATGAAAGACAGAGCCGCTCTTGTGGAGTGTGGTGGAATTTAGGTTGGCTGTTGCAAGGTGGAAGGTGAGGCTGGGAAGCAGGTTAGGGTCAGAGCGCAGAGTGGCTTGAATGCCAGGGAGAGGAGCTGGGATGTTACGCAGTAAGTAGTGAGGTGCTGCTGAAGGATCCTGAGTGGGCCAGTGACGCGATCAAACCCCAGGTGGCACTGCGAGTGTTGTGGAGGCAGGAGACACTCATGCAAGGAGGGCACGAACAAGGTCAGGCATGCCCCTTCCAGGGAGTGGCCAGAGCCATGGCAGGAGAGGGCATGTGAGAGAGGATGCAGAGGACGAACTGGCCACATTGGGGAACAGTGAAGGTGGGGAGGGAGAGGGTGGAGCTGAAGTTCACTATGAAATGAGAACATAGACTGACTGACTGGCTGAACATAACTGACTGGCAGTTAAGCTGCCATTGAGCTTTGTTTGTTACGTGTTCAACACTTCCAAACGGTGGTAATCGGCTGTGCACAAGACATGGTTGCTTCTCCCCAGGCCAGGGGGTGTCTGTCACCAGACACATACGTTCTTTCAATGGAGGGAGATAATAGACTATGCATGCAGTGTGGTCACAGTGTATTTATCATTGTAGCTAGTCCCCAGAGTATACCACAAGACTTGACATATACTAGATGCTCAATAAATGTTTATTGAATTCATTCATTCACTCAACAAATATTTATTAAGCACCCAATCCATGTTGGGTGTAGTTCTAAGCACTGGGGATACATCAATGACTATAACAAATATTTCTGAGGTTCCTTGAGATCTCTGTGCATTCAGTTTACACCCAAAGCATAAACAAAATCACTTGGTATTCAAGAAATGCTTGGTATTTTTTTCCTCCAGAGTTAAAAGATAACTTATTCGGAAAAGTATCAAACATCCCATTTGGAATTAAGTTCAGAGCTTTTAAAAAATTGTGGAATTAATTTTGAGATTGAAATTAAACATGACATGCTATAGAATATATTCATTCAAGCAACCATTTAGGAAGACCTAACTTGTAAGCTCATCTCAGGCACCACTGAGTATAGCAGTGATGAATCAGAAAGTCCCTGTCCTCAAAGATCCTATGACATAATAATAAGGATAAAATACAGACAAACACATTGCACGGTAACACAATGCTAGGATGTCTTGCTTTTTCTTTTCTCCTTGTCCTGCTTAAGAGGCTAGTTAGCCTCCACCAGGTATGCCCTTACTCTCTGCTTTACTTAGCTAACAAACTGGCACCTGTCACTTGCTGTCTACATCACAGCTGTTTGTGAATGTCTTCGGTCCTCTGCTAGATGGTGAACTCTGAGGGTGGGGTCTGGTTTTCTTCAACTCTGCAGAGGCAGTGTGGGGGATACTAAAGATAGGAACAAAGTATTGTGGAAACTCAGAGGAGTGAAACTTGAAAGCTCAAGTATCTTTGCATTGGTTTATGAAAAAAGGGCAAATGTAAATGTGTACTTGTGTGCAAGACAAAGGTCCAGATCATTTTCTGGTGAAAAGAAAACTGCTTCTTTTTTAAAAGACGTTACAAGTTTCCTTTAAACAGAGTTTGGCAGCTGACGAAACCATGGACAGCAAATGACCTCGAGTGTTATGTGAGATTTTAGAAACAAATAAATGTACTGTGAAAAATAAAGCTAATGTCTTTATATTTCACAATAAAAGTCCTCACATAGCACCTTGGTTTTCAAAGTGCTTTTGCATATGTCTCTTCTCATGTAAATGTCAGGACAATGCCGGGGGGTCCACAAGGTAAGCATTTCTCTTCCTGTACCTCCCATGGAGACGCTGAGGCCCAGGGCTGCTGGTGAGTCACGAGCTGACCCAAGAGGCAAGAGCCACGCTCTTTCCCATAGTTAGTGGCTCCCAGAGAAACACCATACTCCATAAGAGGTGGGGAGAAGCAGTTTTTTTTTTGTTGTTGTTGTTTGTTTCCTTGGAAAGGAAGAAATTCAGCTTTCTGACCTAAAAATTAGAAATGACTGGAGTGGTAAAAGTTATTCTGCTAAGTAAAAATCAACATAGCTAAGTGGGAGAAAAACCAGAAGAAATTCTACATATTCTAAGGGATGCACCTGGAGAGTGTGTGGCTTCCGTTCTGACTTTTATATGGATGAGGATAATTAGCATTGCTTTCCTGTAAACTGTATTCAAATTTCCACAAGCAGCAATGCTCCCCTGGATTCGCGCTGTCATCATTAAATCACACTTACAGCATGTACCAGTTTACACCCCGGCACTAAGTAAAATACAATTTCCTTTCTTCCTTTGATTATTTTTCCTTCCTTCCTTCTTTCCTTCCCTCTGTCTTTCTGCTTTTACTGTTACTCACACATTTACTGAACTAGATCTCATGAGGATTCCTGGGCATCCACAGATGAATGAGCCACAGTTCCTGATGCTCGAGTCACAGACTAGGATGGGAGGAAGCCTGAAGGCGGGATTGTATCACTCACTTCAGTGTGTGCCCCACAGTCCGCTGCTGGGTCTGAGACAAGGACTTGGTTCCTGAACACTGAGTGGATGGATGGAAGGATGGATGAGATGCCTGTATCCGGATGGCAGTGTTCCAATTTCTGACTCAGTAAAACAGTTGAAATTTCTCCTCCCCTTCCCGTTGCTTTTTCTGTTTCAGCAACCCCCTTTCAATGAGAGAGGATGTGAACAAGAGAATCAAATTGGCATTCTGAAGCTCTTTATTTAAAGGCACGTATTTAGCAATTTGCTATGTCTGAGTTAATATATGGGTTAAGTTCCCTGTGAATGACACTCTCCTAACTTTAGCAACGTCATAAAGACAATCAGTTGCTGTGTGTCTGGCAAGTTAATGACTACAAGCCCAAGGGATGCAAGAATGGGAAAATGTTAACGTAAAAAAAAAAAAGACTTTAAGCAAATGCAGAGGAAAATGGAAAAGGACTCACCACTCCCTCCCCAAAATGCTGCATATAACATCTTGTTTTGAACAAAAAAGTTACTGAGAATATTATTTTAAACTTTGTGCTCATTAGAATAATCCTTTACAGAATGCAGACAAGGCGGCAATTAGGGAAATTAGCGGGAGATAAGGAAGAAAAGAGTATTAGGAAAAGATGGAAGCAGAAGAGGAAGGAAGAAGAAAAAGCAGAGAAGACGACTCCATGTTAAGGTGACAGGGAAGCAGGAGAGGAATGCGAGCATGAGGTCAGGTATGCAGGCAGGTAAAAGAGAACCTTCCGAGAACTTGACTGGCAGAGGTGGGTGAGAAAGGACACTCCTCTACTGTCTTCCTCAGCTCCAGAGGGTGGAGGCTGACAACACGATCATCTACTCTGTGGCAGGTACTCTGCTGGGGACTTTTATATATAACATTTTATTTACTCATCCAGTTCAAAGCCACCTGCAAGGAAGGAAATTATGTCCATCGTACTGGTGACAAAACTGAGTTCAGAGGTTGTCGGTCGAGGAGCAGGGGCTCTGGACAGCAACCACCTACAGACAGCACATTGCCATCCACAAAGGACTCCTTCATCTTCCTTAAACCTCAGCAATTCTGTGAAGTGAACAATATCATTTCCATTTTGCATGGCAAGAAATGCAGGCTTTGAGGGAGCCACTCACACAGCTAGCAAGAGACCAGGAAGCACATGGACTGGGACTTGATCCAATGCTCCTTCTGTTTCACTGAACAGCCTCCTTGAGGAAGTAGCTGGCTCCCTTCTTTTCACCCCAGCCCCAGCTTTATCCTGTAGCCTGTGGCCAGATGACTGCTGAGTACCAAGCCAAGCAGACCCAGCATGGCGGTTGCAGTTGATGTCCCAAGATCATCCTGACTGTGATTCTGCATGGAGTGAGGACTCTGATTCTTTAAAATACTAGGGTTATCTGGTTTGTGCTTCTGCACAGTGCAGCAGTCTTGTCTACAGCAGCCCCCCACCAAACATGGCCCAAAAAGACAATGACTCTCATTCTAGTAACAGGGGGTTCACTGTTACTAAATGAAGCCACAGGTTCCACTGTGGGCTAGGGGTATCTGGAAGAAAATTCTTGTTTTGAGCCCAAATCTCTTTCTCTATAATTTCTTTTAGTTCTGCGTTTTCTAGAGTAACAAACGTCTTTCAGATATCTAAATGCAGCTTTTGTGTCTTTCCTTGTTTTTCTCTTCTCCAGGTTAACCTTTCTCTGTTCCTTCAACCACTGGTTACAAGACAGTCTCTGACACCCTCTCCATTCCTGATGCTGTGTTCACAGAGCACTCAAGTTTGTTTATTTTCCTTTTCTTTCCTTTGTTTTTTGTTTTTTTTGTGGGGAGTCAGGGTCTTGCTCTGTCACCCACGCTGAAGTGCAATGGCATGATCATAGCTCACTGCAGCCTCCAACTCCTGGTCTCAAGCAATCCCACTGCCTTGGCCTCCCAAAGCACTGGAATTGCCTGCATGACCCACCACGTCCAGTTTATGTTCCTTTTCAAATGTACTGGTATAATACTCCTAATGTGATCTAAGTACTGCAGAGTCTAATGAAATCATGACTCTTCCTTCTGTGGGCATGAGACCTCTTTTGTCACAGTTAGGATAATGTTAACTTTTTCAGTAGCTACTTTGTGGAGGAGAAAGGTAAGTCACCACGGTCTCGCAGTACAGCATAATAAATTCTGCGAAGGAGGCAGTCAGTGGGCTATGGCATCGCAGAGAAGGGGCAGCAAATTTTGCCAGAAAGGGGCAAAGAAGCCTTCTTGGAGATGACACTTGAAGAACAACTCAAAGTGAGAGCAAACCAGGTGGAGAGAGTAGAAGGTCTTTCCAGGTGGATGGAAAAGATTTTGCAAAGATGAGCTGGTAAGAGAGAACATGGCAGTACTACAGCCCTTTCTTCCCCATTGCTTCTCTTTTCAATTCCTTTCTTCAGCCTTTCTCTGACTTAGCTTCACTTTTGGATGTTCTTTTCAGTTAAGGCTTGGGAAGACCCTTGCATAACACAGGGGTTGGGGCGCCGATCCCCCACGCAGTCGGAAAGCTAGGTATCACTTTTGACTCTTCCAAAACTTAACTAATAGCCAGCTGTTGGCTGGAAGCCTCACTGATAACATAAATAGTCCATTAACACATTTTTGGTATGTTATATGTATTATATACCTACAATAAAGTAAGCTGGAAAAAACAAAATGTTATTAAGAAAATCATAAGAGAAAATCCATTTACTAAGTGAAAGTGGATCATCATAAAGGGCTTCATCCCCACTGTATTCACAATGAGCAGACTGAGAAGGAGGAGGAAGAGGGGTTGGTCTTGCTGTCTCAGGGGTGGCAGAGGCAGAAGAGGTGGAGGAGGTGGAAGGGAGGCAGAAGAGGCAGGTACACCCGGTGTAACTTTGAGAAAAAATCCACGTATAAGTGGACCCACGCACTTCAAACCTGTGTTGTTTAAGGGTTAATTGTACTATGTTCTCCTGTTTTAAGAAGCATCTGCTGCATGCAGTTGAAGGTTCTTCAACTTGTTTACTGTGTAAGTATCAAGTGAGCATTAAATAGCCAAAGCACTGGCGGTGTTACTGTTAATAAGTAGTTTTGGGGCCTGTTCTCCGTTTTGGAGGCTGCACCTCTACTTGAGTGAACTATCTGATTAGGGTAGAAAAGCAAATGGTACCCTAAGTATCAAAAGATAGCCAAAGGTCACTCAGGGCCATGGGCTGGACCACAGTGCTCCAGGGTCTTTGCCCCGTTATGAGCTGACCTGTTTTTCTCTTCAATGCCTCCGGCCAGCAGTACTGAAACGAGACATTTTAGGGTTTCCAAACTGTTTCTTAGACCGTTAGTCACAAACTCTTATCAAGCAGTTTTCTCCGGTTAGATAGCAGACAGGCTCAGAGCCTCACCTTTGCAGGTCAAAGCTCGAGAAACCCTCCACATGATAATTCACACATCTGTGATTTCTTTTACCTGTCCCTTCTCTGCCTTTAGCTTCTCAGTCATCCCACCCCGCCTCTGTGAAAAGTACACAATGACTCAAGGCTTTTCTTAGACCTCTGACAGGTGAACAAAGAAAAACACCTTTCACAAATCCATCTTATCAAAGGATAGAAGAAGAGAGAACAGAGCCTTTAGTAAAGAACCCTAAACATCCCACCAGAAAGTCCCAAACAACCCTGAAAAGTGAGAATAAAACTACCAAAAGCTGACAGAGGGTAACAAGCATTATTTCCAACCCACACTTGTCCTTCTAAAAAAAACCAACCCGCTACTGAAAAAACCCCTGAAATGTATGAAATCTAACATCGTTAACATATTTCCTGTCCTCACATAGCTTATAAAAATGTTTCTGAGCTTTTCCCTGGCTCATTTACAACGATGAGAAGGAGCAAAAAGGAAATGCAACAGATGGTACTGAGGGAGGAGGTACTACCATCCTCGCTCGCAGTCATCCATCTTCACAGTAAGTCATCCCCGCTTGGGCGAGGTTTCAAACGTTTTTCAGATGTACCAATGGCGTATTCTTGCTCAAGAACAATGAAGATGAGGCTCCTTTAAAAAGCTTCAGGTTAGAAGGCATGTTTACTACTGTCTATTTTTGTTGCTTCTAAAAGAGATCACCTCAGCTTTCCCTCTGAACCTCCCAAACTGACTCCGCGAGAATCTAATCTGGTACTGATTTAGAGCTGACAGGTGGTACATGCATAATTAAAGATGACCTAACACAGAATGCTCTCATTCCTGGCATATTATCAGACACTTAAGCAAAGCAATTATCAGTAGGCAATCTTTTCTGTCAACAGAGATCGAGATGAAACATTTCTTCAATTAAGAGAATTCTGCAAAGATGCTGTACATATCCATCTGCAAATACTTGAAAACCTTTAGAGGTGAATACTAAGTCAGCTCAATGAAACACCTTTGGCCAGTTAACACATGCTCTCCTCTCCTCCCACTTTTCCTGGAAGGTCACATTTCAAACATCAAAATCGGAACCATTTTAAGGTGCCGCCAGACACCCTGATGTGAGCGGACAAGGAAATCTCTGCATTTTTCTGCCTTGCTGAGGTTTGCAAATATAACAAGTTTTCCTTAAAGGTTCAATGCAAAAAAGGACAGGGTTCACCTTAAAGCAAATTGAATTAAAATTTCCCTTCAAAGCAGGATTATTCGCTCCCCATGCTCCACCCATGTCAGAAGTATTTAGAGAATTATTATCAAACCTTAAAACTTCGTCTTGAATCTAAGTGATTTAAAGGATTTTTTTCTTTCATTTTGAAGAAATCAATATTATTCAAAGAAAAAAGGGACTTGACAAAAACGGAGGAATTTCCCATTTCAGGGGAAGGAGGGAAGAGATGCCGCATTTCCTGATAGAGTACTGTGCTTTTTATAAATTATAGTACATGCACTTTGTAAAAATGAATGCATTTAAGCTTTCCTTAGAACAGAAATTGCTTTAATGTTATAGCGAGACAAGTGATTTTCTTTTCTTTCTTAAAAGGGTAGTTTATAAGTTAATGGTTTTTTGAAGCCCATGTAAAAATTGCCTTCCACAAGACAGAGAACTTCACAATGTTTGTGGTGCATATTTTGCCACATTTCACAAGAGGTCTTATTGTTTAAATTCTTATGTCCTTATGTCATATGTGAACAAATGACTTTATTGTTCATTTGAACATGTCTTTATAGGATCTCTGGTGGTAGAGCTAGTGTTGTTGTTTGCATGTTTTCCCCTCAACAAGCCAGAACAAAAGTCTCTTTTTCTGAAGCACTGGGAACTCAGGGACCATGGCAGTGTGGCAGTAGTTGTCAGCTGGAAACACCATAATGATAATGTAAGTGAAGTGCTCACATTAAGGGGTTGACTTCTGACAAGTCAAGGTCTATAGAAAAGTTTCTGCTACAGCAGACATTATGGTAATGCAAAACAGAAGTACTTAATAGAACAATTAAGAATCATCCAGTACACTATTACTGCAGTAGGACTCAATTCCTTTCAAGATATGCTTTCCTTGGAAGAGACTCCATTCAGAATATTAGGGAAAAAATATCAGTAGCCTTTGGGGAGAACATACTCAGATGGGAGGTGGAAGTGATGGCGGGATCATTAATGGGAGATTCAGTAGGACTCAAAGCTCAAGTTCATTATATTTCTTAGAACTAAGAATAGCTTCTGAATGAGTACTCACAATTCTCCACAGACCTATTTCTCCTAAGGAGCTCCCCCTTTCTCCCTTTCCAATTTTAATCTAAGAAAAAGAATAGAATCCAGACAGACATGGGTAGGTAAGCAGGAACAAAGGAACCTCTACAGAATGGAAGAGAGTCTAAGCTAGTTCCATTTTAGATGCTGTTAAATCCCTTTGACCAGGATTCAATTTAGAACAACTCAGAAGATACAGTTTGATAGCATGCTGCATCAAGAGGACAGGAAAAAGAAAGAAGTCACATGTGTAATGTTGTGGCAAACAACAAAATGTGACTTCCCAGTGGATGTCACGGACGAAAAGAACACTTAAGATATAAGGCACATACTACCATTAAAGTAAACAGAATACAAAAGGGAAAGATTTCAGTGAGTTTATGTAGGGAGAGACCCTCATTTCTCACACAGCTCAGAGTCCCTGACTTTTGTAGGACTTCAGTGAATAAAGCAAAGTCTGTAAGCACAGCCTTTCTATGCTGAGGATGATATATGGCACAAAAACATTTTACATGATGCCTTTTACACTTAGATATTATTTTAGAATCATAAACTAAAAGCATTTTTAAGGTGGAGGTACCCTGCATAAAATAGAAGTATCTTATTGTTAACCAAGGCATCTCCTGTCCACACTCAAACCTGGCTTTCCAAGTATGTTGGCTTTACTATTTTATGATTGGATGAATAAAATAAGACTGTAACTATGGCTACAAAGTAAATTACGATACCCTGACCCCAATGGAGTATTATTTTGGAAAGAATAAAAGTAAAATCCAAGATATTATTATCATCACTGTGATCTACTTGTGACCCTGTTTCAGAAAGGCTGCTAAAAACCTGCCATTTGGAAGCCTTGTGGAGACATTTTTCAGAATCCTATGTATTCTCTCTGTTAACTGATCAGAGATACTTCTCAGGTTTATTTCACTAAGGACAAAGTATGACACATACTTAAGAAAGAATGGATATTGTTTCAGAACCTCTATCCATTCAGGAGAAGACACTTGCTTTTTAGTTAAGAAATGACTGCGACTAATTCCAGAGCACCTGGTATTGGCTTTTTCAAGAATGAGCATTTGAAATCAAACTGGAAAATGGTGACTAGCACATCTGCAATGATCTAGATGATGGTAACAGATGATCCAGAGATGGTAAGAGACAGATAAACCCAAA